TTGAGCATTCCGGAGTGCGAATGCTGGTTATAACAGAGCATAGGTTTAACAGATCTGTCGTCTGCAGGAACACTGGGCCAAATGTTTTATCTTTACTTGGGTTTTTGGTTGTAGCCGTGTTGGTCTAAGGACATAGGCAGGCCGGGTTCTTTGGGTAGACGTGATATCTTTTATTAGACCAGCTGCGTAGCTGGAAAAAAGTTCTTTGCAAGCTTTCAGGCGCAATCACCCCTTTTCAGGCACAGGGAGTCTTTGCTGTTCTGTTTACCTGTAGCTTGCAGACTGGATCTGCTCAGGCAGAAACAGGTGAGGTTCATGGTTTCAATCAAGTCTAACATTGTCCAATAAATTATGAGTGAAAAATGTGGGATCTTGCTTTTGCAATCATTTCCAGTCCAAATTATACACGATCCAGTAGCTAGAACTGTTCACTGTATTAATTCTTTAGACCAGAACTTAAAAGGCAGAACTACTCTTTTAATAAATATGATTTTAGACAACGAATTGGGGGTGGGGGGGGGGCGGGAGGACACCCATGAAAATGTAGTTAAATGTAAATGTGCTAAATGGTACATGAACAAGTCAGGTTTCCGTGATTTATCAGTTTTAAACTTCAAAGACTCTGGTTAGCTTGCATTTTTAAGACTAATGAGTTTATCACAGCCAGTGGGAAAAACGGTTCGAGTATATCAGCTATAAATTGGTACAAAGCACTAAAAGGGACATTAGCCTCTAATCAGATTCTAACAGTTCATTAAACCTGCCTTTCCTGAATCGCTCTTTGTCTCCCCCCCTTCTGCTTGAGCCTCCTGTGCAAGGCAGTCTCTTGCCTATTACATTTGGGTAAGACCTCCTCAGGGATATGAAGCAATATCAGCTCATCCTTCTTTGTCTACAGACTAAACAGCCTAAGGGATCCTTTATTATGGCATAGTCCTGATTTTGCTGTAAAACTCCACTGTGCTTCTTATAAATCATGAAAGAGAAGGGACTTACTTGTTAGTGGAATAAAAGCTATAGTAGGTTTGGTATGCCAGGCTGGATGCTGTTCCTGCTCCACCCTAAACCACATCCAAACCACTGAAGTTAAGTGACGCCTTAGGACATAGGATCTATCCCTGATACGTAAACAATTCACCACCCTTGCTGGGAAGAGGCATTTTAAGTCTGGAACAATTTCTCTGAGCTATGTTCTGACATCCAAGTATCGCCCCCCAAGACTCTTAATAAATATCAAGGTATCCAAAACAGATTCCTTCTATCAAGGGTATTTAAGCTTGTAGCACTATGGGAACGTACCAGACAACAGAACAGCTGAACAACTCAACCTACATTTTTAAAGATTTAAAGGGAAACACTCTGCTAAAAAATTAGATATTTTCTTTGAAATTTTATAATTTGCTGGTTTTGTTTTCCAGGCAGTATCTAAGATTACTATAATGGAAAAATTAGACAAAACATTCTCCAGTTTTGTGACTTTGGTGTGTGTTGTGTAGTCAACTACACGTTTCTTCCTTCTCTAGATAGTTAGAACCATTTTCCCTCAAGCTGCTACATGCAGAGCAGTGGGAATCAAAAGGGAATCACTGGTCTGTCTGAAACCAGCACCTTGGTGAAATAGATTATACATTTATTTCCATCTTTCACTGTGGGTTATTCAAACAGCAATGGGGAAGAAAAACAATTTTAAACCCAGATTACTATGATTGTCAATCTCTGAAAACCGAGATTCTGGGGCATTTCTTCTAAAATTTCACCATGTAATTTAAATTTGCTGTCCTTTTCTGAAGCAGTCTTTTCCCAGAAAGGCACAATACTGAAGTTAGCACCACTTTTCACACTTCTAAACTCCCAAAACTTACTGAAAAATCAAAAGAAATTGTATGAAGAAATATGGTAATGAGTCTGTGCTTTCAATATTAATAAAAACTCCATGTAGCATTATACCAGTATTGCTGCCAGATTGTAAAAGAGGCTTCCCATTATAATCCACTGGGGAATGAAGACTAGTAGTTACTGTAGAAACTTGGATTTATGTCTCCATTCCAGCCTATGTTACTAATGAACTGTGCCACATTGAGCCAGCCAATTTCAACCTCTGTGTGCCTTTGGTTTCCCAGTTGGTAATATGGTGCTGGCCATACTGTGCTTTTGTAATGTAAGGAGGAGTATTGTGATGCTTAAGAGTGGACTGTCCCTGACCCTGTGCAAGAGAGAAGAAAAGGAGGAGATACCTTTGTATTCATTGGCTGGATCCAGACATGCAGGCACGTGTAGTTTGTGGCACTGCAAACCTCTTTGCAGCGCCACAAACCACATGAGTTGCACCGTACTTAGTGCTCGGTGCTGCTAATTTGCAGTGCCAGGGCAAAATTGGCTACTGGGATTTCCCAGAAGCATAAATACAAAAATAACCCTCCCCCTTCCCCCCCCCCCCCCCAAAAAAAAAAAAAAAGAGCAGCGCAAAACATGCCAAAGTAGCAAGCACTGGGACAAATACAGAGATGGGGGAGCATGGGATGCTCTCCAGCCTCTGCACACTGTAGAGCTGCTGTGCTGAGGCACCCTGCACCCTAGCTAGCCAGTCCCTGGTTGGTGGGTGCAGGGTGCCTCAAGACAGGGGAGCAGGCAGCCCAGGGCTGCCTGCTCCCCCATCTCGAGGCACACTGCCCCTCAGCCAGGCTGGGAGAGGCTGGCTAGGGTGTAGGGTGCCTCGGTGTGGGGGCTCCGCGGCACTCAGAGATAGAGGGGCAGGCAGCCCCATCTCCACATGCCGCTCCCTGGCTGACTAGGGCATAGGGTGCTTCAGCGCAGGGGATGGTGAGCCCATGCGGAGGCACCCTGTGGCCCAGCCACACCCCCTCCCCCCATGCAGTATTTGGAGCAGCGGGACAAGTGGAAGGTGCTGTATCTAGGGAGAAAGAACTGCCATCATACCTACAGGCTGGGGGGCAACATTCTCAGCTCAACAGAGGCAGAAAAAGATCTTGGAGTCACTGCTGACTACAGGATGAACATGAGTCACCAATGTGATGAAGCAGTTGGCAGAGCCAATCGCACCTTGTCGTGCATCCGTAGGTGCTTCACAAACAAGCCCAGGGAATTGATTCTCCCCCTCTAAGCGGCACTGGTCAGACCGCAGCTGGAGTATTATGTCCAGTTCTGGATGCCGCAATTCAAGCAGAACGCAGACAACCTGGAGAGGGTCCAGAGAAGAGCCACTCGCCTGATTTGAGGCCTGCAGGGAAGGCCCTACGAGGAAAGGCTAAGGGACCTTAACCTCTTCCTCCTCTCCAAGAGAAGGCTGAGAGGGGACCTTGTAGTGGTGTACAAATTCATAAGGGGAGAGCAACATGAAGTAGGTGATGATCTGTTCACCAGGGCACCCCCTGGAACAACAAGGAGCAATGGCCATAAGCTACTAGAGAGAAGGTTCAGGCTGGACATTAGGAGAAAGTTCTTCGTGATCAGGGTTGCCAGGATCTGGAATGGGCTCCCAAGGGAGGTGGTGCTCGCCCCATCCTTGGGGGTCTTCAAGAGGAGACTGGACAGGAACTTGGCTGGGATCACATTACCCCAGGTTTGATGACCCTTTTCTTGCCTGCCAGGGACAGGGGGTCAGAATAGATGGCCCACTGAGGTCCCTTCCAACTCTATGAATCTATGAAAAAGCACAGGGGCAGGGATGTGCACTGGGGCACAAAGTAGAGGCACAAATTTGTGCTGCTGTCAAGGCACACCCCGTCTTGTGTGGACCCAGCCATTGAGACAGGTTTGTACACAGTTTTGCTTTGGGACTATGCCTTCAACATGCAATGCATCCATTATTTGTAATAACAGTTGAAATATCCTTACAGAAGGTAATAGATAATTGCAAAGTGTTCTTGCTTAAGAAAGGTGAATACAACCCGGAGTGGGTCAGAGAAGGATGATCAGTGGAAAGGAGGGCCCATTTTACAAGAGGAGACTAAGACGAGGAGCTTGGCTGATTTAGTCAAAACTTGAAGCCTGAAAGGGGATGCTGTAACTCTATGTGAATACATCAGAAGGGGAGAAATACTATGTTGGCACAAGAACAGAAGGGTCTAAACTGGCCATAAATAAATTTACCCTGGAAATTAGATGGCTTGCTACTGCTGGTAGAATGAGGTTCTAGTTCTGGTACAGCTTTCCAACAAGAGTAAAGAGCTTAAAAAGAAAAGTTTTATGATGGAGCTTGGTAAGTTTATAAAACACATGTTCCACTGTAGCACAGAACTGGATTTGATGCAAGTGGCCCTTTCCATTTCTATAGTCCCAATTTAAAATGACCTAATAGCTTTCTTCTGGTGTGTCTTGCTCACCACTCCAGTAGCAACTCCACTCTTCATTCTTATAGGCAGCATGAAAAGCAAGACATTTGGGAATACAGTTGCTCAAGTGTACATGAACTTTTGCAGCCTGTCTCTATGTGGAATTATTTATAAATATCCATATATACAAACACTAAATTGACAACATGTAAGATTGAAATTTGGGTCATAGTGAATAATACAGAACCAACTTGATATGGTAAAGGTATAGGTAAGGTAGGGTTTGAATTTAAAACATAATAGCCAGTTCTGAATAACTCAGCATAGACACTCTTATTCTGCGATGAGAGGCGCCCAATGCCGACGCTCATCAGACCCCAGAAAAGGTGTTGGTTGATATAGACAGCAGGACGGTGGCCATGGAAGTTGGAATCCGCTAAGGAGTGTGTAACAACTCACCTGCTGAATCAACTACCTTAAGTTAATAGCAGATATATCCTGATTATAACTACCCAACTTTTTCTTTTAAAAAAGAGGGTTCAGATTTAGTGTGTTGGTAAATTGAAGTTTAGTATCCTCTCTAAATTAACTTGAAGCAAAAACTAATACACCTGCACTGCATCTATGTTGTTATAAGTGAATTGAATCAAATGTGATTTTATCTGTTCATTTTGTGTTGATCGTTGGCCTCTCACTTTTTGTTCTTAGGACATCAGCACCTTTGAAAACAGAATGCTTATGCTTGATGGGATGCCGTCTGTCAGAGTCAAAACAGAACTGTTGGAATCTGAACAAGGGGTAAGTAGACATTTCCAGACAGTTTTCTCTTCCTCTTCATTGTATTGGTAATTTTGGCTTTATTTTCTGGTGGCCAGATTTTTCAGAACATGGTGTGCCTTTTTCCTTTGTTGTCATCTTGAAGCTCAATTCATAGAAAAAAATTCATAGTTTCTCTGGGAAACTATGAATTGCCAGTTTCTTCTCTTGGGATCGTGGAACAATCTGGTCTCTAAAGAAATTTTCTGGAAGAATGTGGATCATTACTTAGATGTAATATGGCAGAATTTTGGAGGTGATCTCAGCTATCCTATTGTGAGGATATTGGATCCATTCACTTAGCCTGCTCCCTTCTGTATTAATTTAAAAATTAAGTATTGTTCGGGTGGGAATGTAGATGCGTTGGAAGATTATCATTCTAGAGGACATCTTTCCTATAGTTAATGCTGAACTCATGGAGTTCTTTGAATATCATGAGAGACACCTTGACCTGGATTTTTGATTGAGTGGGTAGTAAGTGCTAGAGTGATGCTTCTGCAACAACCTGTGTGTCTGAGTAGATGAGATGCTGAATTTTCAGGACTTTTATGGATGTACTGCTCCATTCCTGGATATACACTGCAATAACTAAGTCATGGAGGTGTAGATAACCATGGCAAGATCTGTGTTTGATGGAGATACTGTCTGTGATGGAGCTGGTGATAGAATGGAGTACTACTTTATAGTATAGTTTTAGTATGTGGACATCCAGTTCCACTGAGACCAACAAGATACAAATGTTTCGATTCAACATCATGTTTTGAAGTTAGCTTCCCTCAGTAAGTGGAGGACATTACCTAGAGGTAGCTAGCACTGTAACTTATTTAGTTGTTCTTCCAGTGGCTTTATTTACATTTTAATAATGTGGGGGAGAGTGAATTGAGCTTTTGGGAGGAGTCTGATTTGAAAATTGGGAAGTTGGAGAACAATGGTTCCAGTTTTTTTCTAAGAGGAAAACCGTTTAAAGGAAATCACATTCACCCCTGGAGGTTCTTTAGGTGATACAGAAGTACCCTTAGCGGAGATAGGTGGATGCACCAGTGTAACAGTATAAAAGGTGAGAGGGTAAGAAAAATAGTATTATTTTATAAACCATAGTGGCAAAAAGACAGACCCATTAGTGGTAATTTTTACTATCTTCTGGATGTTTGCCAAAGCGCTCACAAAATGCTCACGTTTTCTTAAGACTACCTAGAAAGCAAGCATATAGTAAAATGTGTTTTAATAGGAGAGAGCAAATACCTGTGATGTGTACCACATACATTTTTAATAAAAAAAAGTTTCCAACTTTTACTGAAATGTGACTGGGAGACCTATTTGTGGTCTTGGAAGCTGGAAGGAAATGAACAATTTATTTAATTTTCTAATTTCCTTAGTTCTTTTTAATAATATTTTATGGATTTCTGTATAACTAGAAATGATGTCATCTCATTCCAGTGATTGAGGCTTTGGACAAAGAACTCAGTTTAGTTTGGACATTTGTGTGCTTCAGTACTAATTGGGACAAGAAAGTAGTGTCTGCTCAAATGCTCTTAATGATTCTTCATTAAGAGACAATCAATAAGTAGGCCATGAATTTTCCAGACGTATAACAGCAGTGGTGGCCATTAGGATGGCAGTTTTCCAGAAAAAAGCTTAACCTGAAGAAAGATGGCTGAACGAGGGGTTTAGTAAGTCTGTTAGGGCTTTTTCTAATAGGTAGACATGACATGTGGACATAATAGGCTACAAATATTTGAATAATGTGCTCGCCAAAGAGAATCTATGGAATTATTTCAGATGCTACCTGTCATAATTAGTACCAATGGAGTGAAAATGAAAAAAAATGAAGATTTAGTCTAGATAGTATGGAAAATATATTGAGATGGATCTGTTACATCATTGATCATCAGCAACCTCTTCCAGCTGTATACTGGAATGACCCAGTTAAGGTCAGAGGTGGATGAGAAGATAGACAGGCATTAGGCCCCAGCTGCCACCACTTCCACTACTGCTTTTCTCCACCGGGGCATGAGGAAGCTTCTTCCACTGAAGCCCTGTATCTACAGGCCAGATCCAATGGCTCTGTGCATTGGGTTTGGCCTGTGTGTCATAGGTTGCTGGCCCCTAAATTAGATTGTGAGATACTTAGCTGCTTCTGTTGCAATAGGTCCCAGAGGGCCCGATGGGATAAAACCACCATTGTGTTAGACCTATACAAGTATATAAGGCATAGTCTGCAACCGATGGAGGTCACAAACTAAGATAACATTCTGACCGTCCTAAAGGGAATGATGGAAGGTCCATCACTTAGGATTTTTAAAACCAGACCAGACACTACAAATCTGAGTATAAGAAACAATTCTTGGTTGCTGAGGAGATGAAATAGTGCAAAAAAGTGCATGGAGATACATATCTGAAGTTAAAACTGCTGGAAAATGGAGGTGAATTTTGGTACAAATGTAAGCTATGAATGTGTGTGGAAGCTGAAGGAATTGGGGGACTTGGCAGGGCAGGAAAAGAGGGCTTTAAAGGCAAGTTGAAAATACAATCAGTAACATCTTCTACATTGATTTGAGTTTTGATTTTGAGCATGGGGTTTCAGATCTAGCCAGGGTTGTGTATTTTAGATTTTGAATGGGTGCTTAAATGAAAGAATGGTGTCTGATGATTGGTTAGCATAAACGTCTTTCATTCTTTCTGGTAAAGATATTGCTTGCCTTAGACTCACACAACAAAAATATGAATGTTGTCCCTCTTGTAACTGCTCCATCGATAGTATAGATGACCAGAGTAAAATAATTCTCTCAAAATCACTTCGATGTGTGACTGTAAGTATAGCAAATATTACAGTGATGTAGTAATTTTTGCTGCAGTCTAAGAGTTGGAAGAAGTATGCACACAATTCTAGTAGTCACTCCTCATAGCTGGACATGACTTCCCTGTTGGAAGTATGTCTTTGTGTTTGAGTTTGTCATGACAGCAGTTCAGATTATGTGTTCCCAAGATAACTTCTCTTAATTTAACCTTGCCTGCTCTCTTAGATTACATGCCTTTACTGCAAAATTAGCACGTACTGGTTTAACACATGTGGAAAAACCCTATTACATAACCACGCTCGTGTCATCCACAGTGGTGCTGCACTAACTTGTATGCTGGTCTGAGTTTGTAGCAGTATGTCCCCTCATTCTTACTCATTTGTTAAACTGCATGAATTTACTCACATTGTATTGTGGGAGGACTTGCTGATTTTTCCAGAGCTCCTTTGTGGAAGTGCTTAGTTTACCAGTTCAGGAAAATTCAGTAAAGTTAACTGCTGGAAGAATACATAGGTTGATGTATTCTACATTTAATGAAAAGCAGAAAATCAAAGATGTAGAGTAAGCTACATGCTTTAGGGCATATGGGCAGTAGCTTGCCACTCTGAGGTCTTGATGAGGAGATCATGCAGGATGTGTGCAAGCCTGGAGCACTTAGGATGATATTTCCAGGCTGTAACACGATTGGAATCACCTGTGATTAAAAGGATACCTCCCTGGAGGGATGTGAGGAACACGTCCTATCCCTTAAATGCCAGGATGTGCAGATCATAGTATCATTGGAAAGTAGGACTGGAAGGGATTCAGTGCAGTCATCTAATCCAGTTTCTTGCTCAAGGGAGTATCATCCCTGACTAAAACCATCCCAGTCTAGGGTCTGTCCAACCTGCTCTTAAAAGTTTCCAGAGATGGGAAATCCACAACCAGTAAACTGTGAAAACTCTTCCTAATGTCTAACCTAAATTTCCTCTGCTGTAGTTTGAGGACCTTGCTCCTAGTTCTGTCCCTTATGGCCATAGAGAATGGCCTATATCCTCTTCAAAATTGCCCTTCTGGTATTTGAATACTGTTATCAAATCCCCTCCCCTAAATTTCTTTTCCAAATTTAATAATTCAATTCCAGAGGTGGCCCACCTGCAGCATGTGGCATATTGGGAAGGGGACAGGTAGGGGCAGAAAACAGAGCAGCAGACTTGGCACTTGGGGAGGGTGTGAGGTTGATTTGTGGTATGCCTGCCAAAAAGGTTGGCCTCCATTGTCCTTGTATTTTCGGCCTTTCCTCATAAGTCAGGTTTTTCAGGTCTGTACTAATTATCGTCGCCCTCCCCTGGACCCCTTGACTGCTTCAGGTGAGTGGCTAATCAGCAGGGATTCTGGTTTTCTCTGATTAAAAAAAAAATCCCCAATTTTTGGATTAAAAAAGGTAACCCCAAATTCACATTTTTCCATGATTAAAATGAAATACTACTAGGTATATATCTACATATTAGTGGTGTTTCATTTAAATCATAGGAAAATGTGGGCTTGGGGTTACTTTTTTAAATCTGAAAATTGGGGATTTTTTTTTAATCAGAGAAAACCAGGAACCCTGCTAATCAGTTTGGCACAGGCAATTCAATTATCAGTGCTGTGGAGGTTCACAAGGCAGTTATCCTAGAGATATACTGAGATAAATGAAGATTGGTAACTACCCAGGTAGTGAAGATTGGCAACATTGTGACATAAATAGGGGCTTCAACAAATAGGTTTGTGTTAGGGCTAAGGGTACTGATGGCACATATCTACCCATAATCTGTTTCCTTGGTAGAGCATATGCCTACATCAACTGCCCTCTTTCATGTACTTGAGAGGTGTAATCCCCGTCTAGATCTGTACGTTATTTCAGGTTGCGGTATCCTGGTGGAGAAAATGAGCAAGCCATCACAGCTGGCATTTTTTGCTGTTTGTTGGCCATCGTGCTAATCTGCCACCCTGTCCTTTGTATGCTACTGTTGCTGTTTTCACTGGAACTCTCTTACTTGCTGTGTAAGGGTGGAGTCATAGGCAATGTCTGCAAACAGTTTCTTGTTTCCGTCATTTGCTTGGCGGACTACAGGAGTCTGTCCACCTGTAGAAAAATCTCTGTGCATCTTTTGCAGCAAAGCATCTCAGGGCTTTTTTGTGCTCTCTGGTTCTTGTACCTCT